GGTATTGAGGAGGGCACGTTCTGCATGGAGCACTGGGTGTTATGCACAAACAATGAATCATGGAACACTACATCAAAAACTAATGATGTAATGTATGGGGATTAACATAAGAATAAAAAAATTAAAAAAAAAAAAAGGAATGTGATCTGAATACAACACAAGAAGCCAGGGAGAGCCCGAAACGAGGAGGCGATGGAACATCCGTGTGTGTGTGTGTCTGTGTGTGTGTGTGACGAGCTGGATGTTCATGATGAAGCCGTGGACTCCTACACGCGCTCATACAAGTTAGAAGTCCTGCTCCTTGGCAGCGACGCGGGCTGCTGTCAGCCCCCCGTCCTCGGGATGCTGTGGCTGAGGCTCCACACTGCAGCAGGTTGTTTGGAAGCACATAGGCTGCCGAGGTCCTTCTGCTTCTATGGCTGCGTGTTACGTGATTCCTTGTGACTTTCTGTGCTGTCAGGGAGGATGCTAGATCTGGATGGGCATCAAAAAGCTGACATAAAGCAATATGTCATTTCCTTCCCGCGGTCAAGAATAGTCACAAACTATATCTGAAATGATATTCAGAGGCTTTAAAAATTGTTTTCCTGGACTTGAATGCAACATGCAGAAATACAAATTAACTCGAATCTTTTGGTCACCTGGAGATCGTTCTATCAAAGTCCGTTAAATTCAGGACAAAGTCGGGTGTTGAGTTTCTGTAGAGTGAACCATTTATGAACGGAACAAAACCTACCAGTGGGATCTGGTTATGACTAATCTGACCCCGCTCATGGGCAGGAAGGCCTGAGAATGGTTTGCATAAGTCCGTCCCAGGAAGGCTTCTTCACAGACGCTCCAGAATTTCCACGCTGTGGTCAAATTTTCTGGTTTGTAACAGGTTTCACTAGGGGCAGGGCCCGTTTATAAATTGGAAAGACATTTGTGGCTGATTGAGAAAACACACCAGGGGCTCTGGTAGACGAAAGGAGGTTCTCCTGACATCCCTTTTTATGGGTCTCCTATTTGGGGTCAGTTAGAAGTGATAGTCTTACCTCACAGTGGTATTGCTGAGGTCTTTGTCCAGAGACCCCCATACACAAGGCCACCGTGGACCCTATGACGGAAATAATCAACTGGAAATGACTTTTTCTGTCTCTCTTGGAGCCAAAGAAATGCTTCCTGTGATGTAAGTGAGATCATCTTACTCTAATGGTGGCCATTACCACACTGGTAGCTGGTGGAGCGGAAGGAGATGCTCGGAAATTCTTTGGGTAATGTATTGGATGTTTTTTATAAATAGATAAAGGTAACAGTAGACAAGTGTGTGATGTTTGCTAAGAATTGTTTTGTTTTGTTTACCCCAAAAATGAAACAGACCAAAAACCAAAGAATAGTTTTCAAAGCCATTCTGAGCATCTACCAGTGGGAATCTAAAAGGACCAACCTCTGAACGAACCACAGTGTCAGGAGCCAGAGGGTAGACAGATGCCCGCAGCCAGGAGGGGGCTGGCTGCTTTGATTGGAATAAGGAAGTGATTTGCTCAAGGGCAGACAGTGTTCAGAAGAATCCGCATAAGGACGTTGCACCGGAAGACACATTTCATTTGTTATTGGACAATGTGGTGGGAAGAGAGGGACAAGGCGACAAGCCATGTGTTCTTTCTCCCGGCTGCCAGTTCCTTTGTGAAGGCTCTGAAATGGTTTGTCTTTATCAGTTGAGTTATGGCATCTGCAAAAGACTCAGAAGCACCTGGAGTAGCCTGTAATTTGTGTCAAATAACAGTTTAAAGTAAGTCTTTATGGATGCATCATAGGCATAGAGAAAAGTGTGCAAATCTTGAGCCACGGCTTGATAGATGATCGTAAACTGCACATGTGGCAGTGTTACTAGTATCCAGATTTAGAAATGGAACATAACCAGCATCCCAGAAGCCCAGCACCCTTCCAGTTACTGCCCCTGCCACCCCCTCCCCCAAGCGTGGCGCCGTCCTGGCTTCTTGCAGCATAGATTCATTTTAACCTGTTGTTAAGCCTCGTGAAGCCAGATCGTAGAGAACGTCCTCGAGTGCCGGGCATGCTGGTGGTGAGAGTCACCCGTGTCCATTCTCGTTGCTGTTGACTGTGACCAGTATCTATCCCTCTTCTGTTGGCGGGTGTCGAGTTTAGTTCCAGGGTGTGGCTGTTATGAATATCGTTGCTTTGAATATTCCCTGCGTGTCTTTTCCTGAATATTTGAACACACCTCTGTTGGAAAGGAAGTTGCCATGTTGTCGGGTGGGTGTACGTACAAACTTAGTGAAGCTCGCTGGAGATTCCAGTTGCTCCATACCTTTGCCAACGACTGTTTTGTTTCTTGCTGAGCCATTCTGGTGTGTGTGTGGAGTAGTGTCTTATGTTGGTTTCCCCGATGACTTGTGAATTTAAATTCCTTTTCATTTATTTATTGACCATTGATTTTTGCCCACTTATGAAATGCCTGTTAAGTGTTTGTCCACTTTTTTTAAGGTTCTCTGCCTTCTTTTGTATTGATTTGTATGCATTCTTTATATATTCTGCATTAAAGTCCCTGGCTGGCTATATTTATTGGAGATATTTTTCCTACTTGGGGAGTTACCTTCTGCTCTCTAACAGTGTCTTTTGGTGAACCACAGTTTTAAATTTTAATATAGTGTAATACTTACCAGTTTTTTTTATGATTACTGCTTTTTGTGTCCTGTTTCAGAAATCCGCTTGCTCCAAAGTCATAAGAAGTTCTGTGTTATTCTTCTATAAGCTTTTTCGTTCTGTTTATGAGATTGAGACTTGTGACCCATCTGAAATTGGTTGTAAGATGGTGTGAGGTGGGAATCAGATGGATTGTTTCTTCCAGTGACTAGCGTCATTACCAGATCCTCATGGCGCAGCAGTGTCCTCTGCTGTAAATCAGTTTATATGGTTTATGTTCATTTGATTCTGGTAATGACAGCTCTTAAGAAAACAAACAAAAAAAACACTTCCAAAGTTCTTATAGCTTGTGTCTAATAACTTTTCATGGTAAAACTACAGTGTTTTTTATTTTAAAATAATCATTCATAATTTCAACGCTGATACTGTTACAATTTTCATTTTTAGTTATATTTCTCTTCTATTCATATTATCTTTTCTGCATAGAATTTTATATTCTGTTTTATCTGTGTCTAAGTAGTCTTCAGAATTCGATCTGTAGTATGGTATTTTATTGCCAGATGCAGTGTGTTTAGCATATTGCTAGACGTTTAGAATGTTCTTACTTATAGTGATGAAAACTGCTACCCTGTAGAGATTTTATTGACCTGTCATTTTAGAAGAGGGCAGCAAATGAGAATGGATGTATCAGTTTGGGGCCCCGTCTTTACGTGCTTTCACTTCTTTTTAAGCTGAGTCTCCCATCAGTGCAGCCTCTAGTACCGATTCCTTGGTCCTTTATTAGGGGACTTGATAGCATATCAGTGCTACCAGCTGCTTTCATTTATTATAAAATTAGAGCCCACTACTACTATAATGTAGTGGTTTTCTCGGAAATTCTTTGGGTAATGTATTGGATGTTTTTCATAAATAGATAAAGGTAGCAGTAGACAAGTGTGTGATGTTTGCTAAGAATTGTTTTGTTTACCCCAAAAATGAAACAGACCAAAAACCAAAGAATAGTTTTCAAAGCCATTCTGAGCACCTACCAGTGGGACTCTAAAAGGACCAACCTCTGAACGAACCGCAGTGTCAGGAGCCAGAGGGTAGACTGGCTACTGAGTGTAGCCACTCTAAAAATTAGTGATAAAAATTCACTAATATTTAAAGTGATATATTCTTCTTTCATTCATCCATGAAGTGATCCGTCCCCAGGAACAATGCTTTGAAAGCTGCATGAACTGGCAAAAGTAACTGGTTTGCATTAGGATGACCTATGTTTGCTTAAAATCTAGTTAACGTTCTAGTATTGTTTCTTTTCTTCTTAGGAATTACCTTTCTTCTGGTATCAATGACTTGTGCCTGAGCCGTAGTAACCGTGCTTCATCAGGACATGGACACGTGGCGGTGGTCTCAGACATCTCAAACTCCAAGGCTCAGGGACTGAATAAACTATCAGCAATAGTGTGACTGAGCTTTCAGAATGCTCTAGGGGCACTTACAGTAACAAAATGCGAGAAAACCGAATGCGGGGTCTTGGTCTTCGTTTCCATCTCCTCCATGGTGGCCAGCACAGACCTGTAAACCTAAGTGGTCAACAGATATTTGTTGACATAAATCAAAACGCACAGGAATTATATGAAATATTCCTTCACCAACTGTTTTGCTCTCTACTCTTAAATAAATCATGATATATGAGGTTATAAGGTACTGTAGGACCCTCTAAATTCTGTAATTACTAAATTGGCTTTGAAGAAAATATTAACCATTGGAAAAATGATCATCGTGAATGGTAGAGGACACAGTGGTGGGGTCAGGTGACACAGACCCACATCTAATGCCAGGATGGCCTGTGAGGGGGTCTGGAGATTAGGGTCTTTGCGGAACTAAGAGGGAACAGGGCTTTCAGTCCAAGGCTATTCAGACGGCTCACTCTCAGAACCTTGATTAACCTCAAGAAGCATTCCAGCTCCCCATCAGATAGGAATCCAAAACTCCCTCAGCGGATACCAGGCACCAGGGAAATCCAAGTCGGCGGTCCAGGGGTGAGAGCATAGTTCCAGTGTCTAGGACATAAACTGACTAATGCAGATGTAACACATATGCAGGGTAATCGCAGGGTTTATTGCTGTATGGTGAAACAATGCAAGCATTCAAGGCACAGAAGCATCTGAAGGCTGGTTTTTGTTTTTTTTTTAAATCATCTGGTTAAAAAATTTTTTTATGATCATAAAAATAGCATATAATGTAATGAGCATCCACCTAAAAATGAAATTCAAAGATAAAATAATCTACCTGCTTACCTAATTTCAAAAACATCAATACAGTTACCTTTGCTGTGATAGGATAAATAAAAGAGAAATGATCTGCAGTGAAATTTAGTACATTGCAGCATGCAAATGCTCCAGCTTACCCTACCGATGGCATCATCAAGTCAGCAACTCGCAATCACCGGGAGCAGGTGCGGCTTGATGCAGATATATGGTACTGATGACTCAGAGGCCGCGAGTGGCTGTCGATAACACGGTGAACAGCTCATTTTCAGAACAGAAGTCCTGAAAACTCAATGTATATTAAATTGTGAAGAAAGTACTTCGTAATTAAAAGGGAGTTAGATTTAAGCTCAGGGCATTAGAAACAGGTTTGTCCAGCAGAATACTCAGAAGCTGTGCGACGTGGGGAATTCCTTGAGGGGGACGTTTGCACACATTGCAAGACCCCTGGGCCCTGGCCCTGCCCTCTGAATGCCAGCAGTAGACCCCAGCCAGAAGTGCCCCCAGGAGAGACCTGATCACCTAAATGTGTCCCCCTAGAGTCGTATCACTGCTTGTGGGATGCTGCGGGCGCACCGCTTTGCCTGTTGCCAGCACTGTGGGAGGTATACAACTGGAAGCCAGACTGGCGACTTGCACGGTCCAGGCGTACTTTGCTGAATGTCCACACTTGTTCTCCCGAGAGGTCGTGACCATCATTTCTGTCTCCAGTGCAGAAGACCTACTTTTTCTGCACCTCTTTACCAAACCTGTGTTCTCTTCGGACTTACACCACTTGTACTGGTGTGAAATACCATCTCTTTGCCTTAATTTGCATTTACCTTGTTATTATTTAGATTAAGATTCTTTTTTATATGATTTCTGACTGATCGGGGCTTCCTTTTCTTTCAGTCACCTCTTGGAACTGCTGATGTTCTTCACCTGTATTGCTAGTGGGTTGTCTTTCTCATTGATTTCTACAGTTCTTTATATATTATGCTTACTAATCCTTTGTCTTTTAAACATTGAAAATATTTTGTAACTTTTAATTTTGGGCATTTTTGTGATACAGTTCTTACAATACAGTAATAGTTACCAGTCTTTAGTGTGTCATCTTGTGTTTCGTGCTTTCAGTTTTTATGTTTCACTCAGGTCTTCGATCCCTGTGAAATTTATTATTCTACATGCTGCATGGTAGAGGTGTGCATATTATCGTTTCCATATCATTAGCTAATTTCTCAGTGATGTTCTCCCAGTGGTCCCTCCTTCCCCCAGGGCCGCCCCTCGGTGACATCCGGGTTCCCACATACATGGTTCTGGGCTCTTCGCGCATTTTCTCGGCCGTGTAATCAGACACACCGCCATTGCTACACTGTCTGTACATTGGTTTTCCTTCCGTTGTGTTACTTTCCCAAGAAAGGAGTTAGGAACGGACCCTTGCTTATTTGTCTTCAGTGTGACCCGCAGCGCAGAGCTTGGGGCACTCTTCTCTGGCTTCATGTGCATCCACGTTGTCCTCCGTTTTCTTCCCTGGATCATTTCAACCAGGATCTGTTGTGCGCCTGTGACGAAGTTGCCATTTCATCCAGATGTGACTCCGCCTCCTGCCTTTAATTGGAAATATTTCGAGTTTAAACATAAAAAGAAATCTGGTTATAACTTCCTGGTTGTGTAAAGTCGTATCTCTTTTCTTTCTTTTAACCTGAAAACATTTCCAGTGTTGTTTTAAACGGTACTAGGCATTTTGTGCTTTGTGCTTTACTTAAATCATTTGAGTTGAAACGTATCTCAGAGGAGCATCCCATAAAACTGTATTACTATGTAAAATATAAATGTAGGTCAGTGGGCCAGGATACAAAGCTCATACCTGGATCTATGAATATATGAATTTTATGCCTCAAAGGAAGTTATTATAACCTTCTTTACAGTTAACCAGTTAATAGTATATATAAAAAAATTAAGCAGTTCATACCATATACCAAAAAAAACCCCGAATTGGTCACCAACTTTATTAATAAAACAACAACTACCATAAACACCATGCAGGGTCCCCGAGAAGTGGAAATAGTGGGCTGAAAATGGTGTGCAGTCCTGCTTGCCTGCAAGGCCTCTGCGGTGGTGACTGGTCCCTCCCTGGGCCCCCAGTGATGCCGTGTCCCCCACGCTAGAGTCGCCTCCCACCACACACACACACAGAACTGTCCTCATGTTCACGTGTTCATTGAAAAAACTTCACGAAGTGCATTTGTGCCCCTGCCCTTAAAACAAAATCATCAAAAAAAGTACAGAAAGTTGGGGCGCCTGGGTGGCTCAGTT